ATTAGCATGTCATCAACGTATATAATGATCAGCGCTTTCATCTCTCCCGACTCGTCTGTAACCACCCACCAACACGTTACAGTTCTGCCCTGCTTGAGGCGCCACCCTGAAGGCGTGACCATGCTAGCCAACGTCCTGTCACGGTAGGCCGACCATAGCATTGGTGCTTCCCTTAAGCCGTATAGAGCCCTGATCAGACCCCACAGCTCTTGAGGCAAAGCCAATGATAGCGTCTCCAACACCTTTGGCGGGCAAACCACAATGACTGGATCTCGCAGTGACTCGCCGATCGGGGTGAGGATAAAGGCAGCGACCACGTCGATAAGTGCCACCTGCCAACATCGTGAACGTGACATAGCCAATCCTGCCCGCACAGCCTCTGTAGGAGCCGTCTCACAGTAGTAGTCGGACATTGAGCTCGTCGCCATGTTTCCACAAACCACCAGTCGAGCCTTCCTCCGGAACCACGTTTTTTTGTCGGCTGGATCAGCTGCATCGTTCGGCTTGATGGTATAGACGAGCTTGGTTGGTAGACGTTGGACACCCTTCTTCTGGAGCCACAGAGCCCTCTCTGGTGTCCCGGGCATTAGTCTTCGGATTGCTACTTCAATGCCCTTGACCTCCTTGGCGATGGCTTCCTTCCACTCATCTAGATGTAGTAGCGCCTCTCGTGGATCCACTCTGTAGGTCACTCTGAGGGGTTCCGTGAGGTTGCTCAGGATCTGCTCCACGTCCTTCGTGTAGGTCACTTCCGTCTTGTTCACTCTGGGAAGGTCCTGACGCAGGGTCCCCTTTGACGAGTTCCCCACTTTGACACGTCCCTTTTCGGCTTCGACGAACATTTCCCAATCATCGTCACTCAAGCTGCCGTCCTCATCGGTGTCCGTGACCGGCTCCTCCTGGACCTCTACCTTGTCCAACTTGGGGCCTGACTCTTGAACCTTTACAAAGTACTCTGGCAACTGGGACAACGGCGTTGGGTACCCGTAGGAGTCCAGGGCCCTAACGTCTTGATAGGAAAGTTTCCCCGTATAGGCTATGAGGTTGATGCGAGTTCCCTCCCATGGCAAAACTTCATGTGCTCGCCTTGGATCTAACACCACAGCCCTTCCCTCTTTCATCTCGTGGACCTGTCCATAGTGAACTCGACCTTGCGGGTCGGCGCGTTGTAGAATATCGCCCACCAGAAGATCACCAGGTCGTAGCTCCACCCACAACGCTCCACCTCGCTCCGGAGTCCTGACTGGGACTATGTAGTTCTTGGTGCTGCTGTCATTGTTCGTATCCTTGTGGTAGCCCCGATCACAGTCCTTCGAAACCATAATAGATGTAAAGGTCGCTTCCGGGGAGAACTCCAATATGATCTTGGCCAACAGCGTTCCCAGTTCAGGATGGTCAGGTAGGCCCTTCATCCATCCCACACTCCCACCATGTCTATAAACTCCGAACTTCTTGTCCTCAAAGAAACCAGCCTCACCAAGTTCTCCAACGAGTTCCGTTGCCTTTGTCACATCCCAGTCCTCGAGGATAAGCTTTGCCTTGGTTTTAGCATATGCACCCAACTCACTTTCATTGAGGGCCAGAACCTTCATGTCGACATTGCTAGTTGGAGTTTTGGCCAAAACCCTCCTCCTGGGCTTAGGTGGCTCTACCACTTCCAACTCTTCTTCGGGAGGTCCTGGGTCTTCGGGAGGTCCTGGGTCATATAGTCGAGGTCTCACATGGAAGGTGTGTAGGAAGTGGCCCTTCTTTGCTTCCGACTCCGGAACATGTACAACATGGCCCCCATCCAGTAGGTTGCTAAGTCCAACATAACGACCTCGGATCCACTTGGTCTCGAACGCCTTGTCACGTCGACGGGGTCCTTGAGCATCAAAGGCCTTCTCCTTCACCAAGACCGCCGCTCCATAGGGGGCGATAAGTTTGGACTTCCATCCCAACACTCGTGCCCTCTGCTGAGCCACCGCCGTTTCCGCCGCCGTGGGCCACAAAGTCGTAGGCAATGAGCTCCCCAACAACAGCGTCCTCGTCCGGTCCTTGACCCATCGCACGGCCGCCTCTGCACGCCCATTTCCTTGAGGCACGCCTGCCTCTGACCACGAAGCCCTTATATGTCGATCTCGTAGCCATCCACGGATGCTGTGACTGAAACACTCTCCACGGTCAGCATGAAACCGATAAGTAGGAAGCCCGTGAGCATCGAGGTAGAGAACAATGTCCTGAATCGCACTTTTCACTTCCGCGCCTGCGTTGGTCTTCAGGGCCTTGGCGAACATAAGTACCGTACTTTCAGGAGGTTCACAGTCTAGACGCAATCCTCCTTCACGATCGTGCTCGCCATGGTCTGGTTGATCTTCATCATGTGGAACGTCTTCATCATCGCCTGGAAGTGATGGCTCGTATTCTGAACACTCGTAGTCCTTAAGGATCTCCTTCTGTTTCTCGGTAGCTCCGATTAGGCTTGGCTGTTCCACGACTTGATCATCATCACCTTCACGACCTTGCTCACCTGGCACATCTTCTTTGCTATCACGACCTTGCTCACCTGGCACATCTTCTTTGCTCTCACGACCTTGCTCACCTGGCACATCTTCATAAAAGAACGGATCCCACTCTTCACGTGGTAGTAGTCGAGAAGGTGCTTCTGTCCCTCTGCTTTGCTCTGGTCCTCCGTCTGGCTTGTGGCTATTGTCCCTCTCTTCACGCGGTGGTAGTGGAGAAGGTACTTCTGACCCTTTGCTTTGCTCTGGTCCTTCGTCTGGCTTGTGGCTATTGTCCCTCTCTTCACGCGGTGGTAGTGGAGAAGGTGCTTCTGACCCTTTGCTTTGCTCTGGTCCTTCGTCTGGCTTGTGGCTATTGTCCCTCTCTTCACGTGGGAGTAGTTGAGAAGGTGCTTCTGGCCCTTTGCTTGTGTCCTCAACGTCCAAGGGATCTTGAAGACCATCATCCTCAGGTGGTTTTCGGCCACTGTAAGACTTCACGAACTCCTTCGGCAAAGTGTACTTGCCCACCATCAAGTAGCGGAGCCCCTTACCCTGAGTGCCCTTCGAGGTGCAGTCCAAACCCGGCTTCACCGGTCCAGCGATATCAATCGTGAGGGTGAACATATCCGGATGACGAACTCGAGCGTGCCGACGCCCCGTTCCTCGGGCCAAAACACAGGTTAGGCATTCCCGATTGTAGTCGAGGTGGTTGCTATCTACGTGCCTTTTCCATTGTGCTGCCGTCAAAGGACACAATCGCGGGGTAGTAGCGGGATGTCTTCTCCAGAATGTCATCGCCATCACCACAGCCTTTGTAAGACCCTCCGACCAGGTCCCGCTCGTATCACTTCCTCCTTCCTCCCCGGGACACTCCAAGCCTTCGCCCTGGAGCCCCTGTAGGTAGTAGACGTTGGTCCCCAATGTTGTAGGCAATGACCCATTTGATCCCATCGCCCGCTGGTCAAAGGTGACCTCTGTCATCTCGTACTCCTCCTGGAATGACTTCCACATCGAGGTGTCCCACAACGCTCTCCTCCGCGGCGCCTTTCCCAACGAAACTTCACCTGGAACGCCGGGCGGATGTTCTAACATGAAGGCGACAGGCCTTCCTCGATCCGCCCCTCGGGCGTTGAGGACCCGTCCCTCTTCTGCCACTGCATACAACCACAACATCCGAGTAATCGCTGCCAGGGACTTGTTGTCCCACACCACTTCGTCATTGACTTGACGTCCCAGGCTCGATCGCCCTGGGGGCCTTCCTATCAAGGCCTCTATTCTCCCATGCATTGCGCCCCACAACAACAACTTCCACGTAGAAGCTCTCATCACATCGTGGGCGCGGTTCCTTTGGACGTCCAGTTCCACCACCACAGTATCGCCTTCATCGAGCTGGTACACCTGAAAGTGTCCCGGGCAGCCGGCATAAAGATGGACTACCCACCTTCTCGAAGTCCACAACCTCCTCCTTTGGGGTCTGCTGAGGTACTCGATGTCCTTGAAGACCTTCCACTCGTCGTTCATCACGTTCTCCTGTACCAAGCCTCCCACGCACTCCCCGGGCAACTCTGACAACATCGGTGAATCCCTTATAGCCCGTAGTCCTGCCTCCATAGACCCATTGCTCACATACGACCTCAAATGGTTCCTCCACGAGTCCTCCATCATGAGCTCAGACGCCTCCACCACATCCTGCGTGATCGCCGTGGCATTCTCCAGCATCTCTCTCTTCCGGTCCTCCAGCCGTGAAATCATTGCCAAGGCCTCCGCCTCCTGTATCAGAGGACACCCTCCGCAAACACCAGGTGACCGCGGCACTCCGTCAGGATTGATAAGGAAGCATCCCCTTTGAGACTTTGAGACCAGTCCAAAGAATAACCAAGGGTCTTCACTAGTTCTCTTAAGGGGACTATCGTTTGTCCTCCAGTCACCGTCGTGGTAGTAGATGAAGTCCTGCTCCTTGGCGGCATTAGCAACGAACCTCCGGATCCCAGCTTCATTGTCAGAGAGTTGTTGCCGGCAAGCTGAACTATGACCTCCTCCGATTGCAACCACTCCTCCTCGTCGTGCGCATTCCGAAGGCAGTGGGTAGCACCTGAGTCGAGAAGTGCCGTAGTCGACTTGTCCATTGCAGACACCCGAACATCACAAAGACTTAGGACCCGAACTTCCGCCTTGGTCTTCTCAGGGGAGCTTTCGCCATCAGCCGGGGCCTGCGCATGGATCACCTGCTGCGCTGCCTGAATCAGCGTCTCGAGGGTCCATGGAGTTCCTTGCACCGTGCCCTGGTTTCCTGAGGATAGCGATGGTGCCGTGGACATAGTCGCCAAGCTGGGGGTAGTAGAGGAAGAAGTGGTAGTGGAGCCCTTTTCCCCGGTGGGGTTCTGTCGTGAGGGTGGTTTGCCAACACCGCAATCTCGAGCTCGATGACTTTCACTCCCACACTTCAGGCATTTTTTCGCTCGCACCTCCTTTTCCATACCACTCATTGAGTGGCTGTAGATGCATTTGTCCCCTCTTTTACATCCAGTCGGCTTTGCAAAGTACTTCTCCTGGCCCTTTGGTCTTTTCGGCGATGCCGTAGGCGAAGATGCGTCCATTGCTCTCACAGCCACCCCCGTGCTCTGGGATGGTGTAGCTCGCTGAGACCCCGCGATCGCCTCCAGCTCCGCCTGTAGGTGTCTTTGGTATCCCTGAACTTGTTCCAGCGTTGGTTGTCCGTCCAACCTGTTGGTCGACCTCAGCATGCTTGTCCGGAACGATGCATCGGCCGACGAGTTGATCGACTTCGCGGTTAGGGCCTGTAGCCCCCTGCTCATGACCAGTGGGTCCGGTGGACTCATTCCCATCGTCCGGCACCGGCTCAGCCACCTCGGCCAACTCCTGACCTCTGCTAAAACCGTCTCCACGCTGTCGCCGGCGAGATACTCCTGCGGAGACTGCAGCCTCTTCAGCACTTCCTGTCTCTCCGCCGAACCGCCCGGTTGGAACCAAATGAACAGCCGAAACAACATCGCTGGAGCCCTCTGAGTCAACTGCTGCGCCACCATGTCGCCCCTGATCTCCTGTGGCATTGATCCCAGAAGCATTGTACAAGCTCTCGCATTCATCCGGCTCCACGGGTCCTGACACAGCTCTCCCATGCCTTCCATGAGATGCCGCAAGCCATCGGCTATAAGCGGCCCGAACCACCATCAAGACTGCTCCCCACCACTGGCCCGACTTTTCGCTGACATCCGTCATCGCAGTAGTAGTGATTTCCAACCAGTCGCTGAATCTAAGAGATGCCTCAGCGCCTCCCTTGTGATCCGGTAATTGTGCCAAACTCGTGGTACCGGCCTTCAGAGATTCCGCTGGCCCCGATGTCGAGCCTTTTGTAAGGGCCTGCGCTTGTAGTTGCTGAAGTTGCTGCATTCCTCGAGCTATGGTTTCCAGCATAGGAGTCTCTGCCCTTTGCGCCTGACTCTGGGGAGGTGGCGACGGCGTGCGTTGTCGAGGACCTCCAAGTAGTGATCGCAAAAGACCTCGGGGCTCAGGAGGATGCTCGGGACTAGGAGGCATAGCGCTGCTTGAGGCTGGTTCCACTGATGTAGGGACTCCGGTATAACCTCCTTGTTGGTTCCCGAGACCTGAAGAAGCCGTTCGTGGATTACCCAGTAGCCCGCCATGACCTGATCGTCCACAAGGGCCTGATGCAACTGTAGGGGGATCACTCAATAGACCGCTGTGACCTGATTGTCCGCAAGGGCCTGATGGAGCTGTGACTAGATTGCTCAACAGACCGCCGTGACCTGATCGTTCACAAGGGCCTAATGCAGCTGTAGGAGGATCACTCAATAGACCGCTGTGACCTGATTGTCCACAAGGGCCTAATGCAGCCGTAGCAGGATCGCTCAATAGACCGCCGTGACCTGATTGTCCACAAGGGCCTAATGCAGCTGTAACGGGATCGCTCAATAGACCGCCGTGACCTGATCGTCCGCAAGGGCCTAATGCAGCTGTAACGGGATCGCTCAATAGACCGCCGTGACCTGATCGTCCACCAGGGCCTACTGGAGCTGTAGTTGCAGACTGCAAAGCATCCCGACTTCTTCTTACTTCATCCAACTCTCGCTGTAGCTGCTGGTTTCGAGACTCTGAGTCTTCCAGAAGCAATCTTATCCCAGACAGCTGTCTCTGAACCTCCTGTTGTATGGCCTCTGCAGGTACTGAGCTCGATGGCGGAGTGCTGGGTTGCGGAAGTGGTAAAGGCCGAGATCTCTGCGGGGACCTCAGAACGAAAGGTCGTCCTCCCGGCGGTGTTTCGCCGGTCAACGGGCTGGGGGCCAGCTGATCATGTCCCACTGCCAGGTACGAACCCAACCGGCTCACCCATCGTGGTAGTCCTTCCATGACGCCCATCCAATTACTTTGACCCATATTCCCCACTCCTCTTGACCGCGGGGTAAAAAACTCATATGTAGCCGCCGTCTCCTCGCCTGCCGCCGCTATTCCAGCTCCAGGTCTGCCACCCAGGTCAGAGATCGTTGGTGGCATCGTTGCCTCCACCTGGCCCTGCATGGCTGTGGCCTCCAGCGAGGCTGGTGGTCGACTGGTAGAAGACGCCGGAGCATCCAGGAGCCGCGATTCCTCCATGGAACTCAAAGGTTCCTGCGCAGCTTGCGTTCCCTCCGCTCTCGGGGCTACGGATCCAGTGGCCCCATAGCCACCATTGAGACCACTTGATTGCGGTCCGTCTGTGCCGTTCAGTTGCGCAGTCGGCTGAGCTTGGGCGCTCATAACCTGCTGATGTACACCGACATCGATCGAATTTGGGGATGCCATGATAAAGCGCACTGGTGTTTTCCTTCGCACTACACAAGTCACAACGATTGGAAGTCTGAGCACTGCTTGAATGTACAAATGTGCTGTGCTACTGTATCCTTCCACACAGCGCTTACAGGCTGTAGCTGCAAAAAACTCCTCGTGGCCCAAGGGGATTTACGTAGCCTTCCCTATGGGCCGATAAGCAACGTGTATGCGCGGATCATGATGCTGCTCCGTTTGCACTTCACAACAAGCTGGATCTGGCTGCAACAACAAAACCCTAAACCCCAAACCCCCGAAAACCCTAAACCCTAAACCCCTAAACCCTAAACCGTGCCTAGCCACATGCAGCGAGCGCGCTGCGAGGAGGCAAAACGCTGCCTCCAGGAAGAGAGGAGAAAGGCGCCCGTGGGCTTTTCGGATGAAGCTTCCGCGGTTGATTGGGATACATCCTGCATGATCCCATAATAGGGTTTAGGGGTTTAGGGTTTAGGGAAGGTATATACCATGTTTCTCATAGTTCAGGGTCATTTAGATCATGCAGGGCTTATATCATCAGCCGTACGAGAGTTCGATCATGCTGAAGGATTCGGGTTGAAGGTACGACAGCCAGCGAGCGAACTAGGAGACCTCCCGGATTCCACGAAGAAGCCTCCCGAGGCCCAGATACCACTAAGTCACCAGCCACCAGCCAACAGGAGACTTCAGGCAAGCAACAGCAGACCACCAGGAGATCACCAGGAGATTACAGAGATACCGGGAGGATATGGGAGATCACCAGGGGATCACCAGAAAACAACATGTTTTCTCCCAAGTTGTATATAGCAAACTGGCCCCTGTATAATATCATCCCATTTTCGTAACCCGAATTGTAGAGACAGTAGAATTCACAAGAACCGTTTACATCTGGCCGCTTTTAAGACAGGGGAGTTCAGGGTTTTGGGTATAGGGGGCATCATGTCTGATATGCAGGGTTGATGTGCATGATGCAGGGTTTGAGATGTTCTTCTTGCGACGATGGAGATGTTCTTTCTGATGTCCTCTAGCGGTTTCAGGCGTGCAAGGTTGGGTTTTCTTGGCGCCTAGGAGTTGAGGTGTCAGGGGTGCAGGGCCTCGATTGCCTTGACAGTGCGGGTTACGGTGACCCTGAGTATCCAAACGCAAAGATACGCTTCGAGCCATGGGAACGGTTGATGATATAAATACTGCATTACCCATAATAAGGAATAGACCATAATTCCCATAGTTTAGGGTCCTTAAGGTAATGCAGGAGTTGTATCATCAACCGGAACCATCTCTCACACAAGGATAAGCGGTTCGAAGTCGCAACACTGCAGAACACAAGCATGAACTGAACGAAGGATGCACTACACCCCCAAACCCTAAGACCTGAGCCTTAACCCTACATCCCCAAACCCTACCTTGTAAGACTTAAACCTTAACCCTACATCCGCAAACCCTAAGACCTAAACCTTAACCCTACACCCCCAAACCCTAAGACCTAAACCTTAACCCTACACCCCCAAACCCGGAAAACCTAAACCTCAACCCTACATCCCCAAACCCCTAAGACCTAAACCTGAACCCTACAGCCCCAAACCCTAAGACCTAAACCTTAACCCTACACCCCAAACCCTAAACCCTAAACCCTCAGACCTGAACCTTAACCCTATACGCCCAAACCCCAAACCCTAAACCCTAAACTCCAAATCGTAAACCCCCTAAGCCTAAACCCTTTTCAACCCAAAGTTCTGGGAAACTAATCCCCAAACCCGGAAAACCTCCCATGGCCATGGTGGAGGCCGGCAGCAGGCATCCGGGTGCAGGGAGCGGGAGACCCCTCAGCTCAAATCCTGCGGAGGACCACCTGCTTGGTTTTGGTGGGTTAGGGCTTAGGGTTTAGGGTTTAGGGTTTTAGGGTTATGGGGTGTTTTGGGATTGTTGGAACGTAAGGCAGTGGGGGTTTGCGGCTGTTGGCATTTAGGTGTTTGGGGTTGAGGGTTTAGGCAAGTGGAGTTTAGGGAGTTTTGGGGTTTATGTTTTGGGGCTTAGGGTATGGGGTTTGGAATTGCACGGTGCAGGGCGTTCGTTGTTTTTTTGGGAGGGTCTGTAGTTTTACGGTTTTGTAGGTTATTCCTTTGGCTGCTCTCATGATGCTGATGTTTATTTGCAGTGTTGCGCTCCGGGATATTAAGCATTCTCGCGTTCTGTGATAATTACAGGCGCTTCGTTTCTACGGCGGGGTCCTAGAACTTGCTAGTGACTGCTAGTGTCATCATGATCAGTTTCATGAGCGTGATGGTGGTGCTACTCATAACGGTGCATCCTACCTTATTGGCGTTGTTATCTGGGGTGTTCTTATTCTTACTTTTGCTGCTGTCTTCTTCATGCCGCTATTCCTACCTCTGTCATGCTGTGCTGTTGTTGTTCTTTTGGTGTGAAATCTGGTGTTGAAAGTTGGGTTCGAGGTTTGTGGGTCTTGGGTCATTGGACTGCTAGGGGGCTTTTGCGCTGTCTTTCTTTGGGGTACACGAATCCTAGGTAGTTTTAGGGAGACCCCTTAAAGGGGACCCTTCTTAACCCATAAGTTGGAGTTTCGGTCGCTCCGCATGTACCACGCCCCATGCTGGCTCAGTATCCCCTCTCTCACTGTGCGCGACAGGGCGACTGCGAAGAACTTCGAGCGGCACTGCAACGCATAGCCGAGGACTGGGTCCTAAACCCTAAACTCAGACACACCAAGGCACTAAGCCGTTTCGCTTTAGGTTTAGGGTTCAGGGTTTTGGGGCTGGGGTTTAAAGTTTAGGGTTCCGAGGCAGCTCAGCGATGTGGCCGGCGTCCAGCTGCGGAACCGAGGTTTTTTTTGTGGATTATATGGAAACGATGAATACAGGTGTCCGTCAGAGATCCCAGCTGCCAGCTTCACGTGGTAGGGGCAACGCTGAGGCTCCTAACACACACGTAATACTTTAGAAGGGCCAACAACCGGAAAGGGGGCTTTCGGGTATATGGTCCCATACTCACAACAAGGTGCCCGCGTGGTATTGGTGATTATGAGGGCCTCTAAATTGGTTGACATAGTTTCCAGCCAGAGTCTTTGGCCTTGGGCAAAGCCTGGCGGGTGGCCAAGCTTTCATGGAAGGCAGCCGAGGAGCCACCCGGCTCCGACTCCACCATCTCAGATAATGACCCTGCCACGGTGCCGATGTTGACTTGGATAACGCCAGCAAAGAGTGTTTGAGCAAAGTTCACGGGAGTCAGTCTCCGAAGTCTTGCCTTGCCTCTGGCCACGAATTGGCTTCGGTCGTGATCCGGCAGCAAGCAAGACTCTGTGCACAGTCATAGTCACTGGGACCTCTGCTTTGGTTCCTTCTTGGCCTCAGGGTTCCGGATCTTTGGGCTCGACAGTTTTGGGGGTGTAGGGTTTTACGTGTCATATGACTTGAAACCCTGTATTATAGTACCCATACTCGCAAAGTGATTGGTAGCTGGTGGCTGGTATCTGGAGGCAGCGTCTGTCCGTTTTTCAGAGTATCTGACAGTTAGTTTGTGCACGGAGAACAAGGAGCTTGTGGTAGTAAGACGGTAATAGTTGGACGTCGAAGTGTAAGCCCTGAACTACAAAACGAAGAGAAGGATCCACACCGCCGGCCCAATTCCCAAATCGCACACTTAAAACAACTGCGAAAAGTTTCAGCAGAATCCGCAAATTCCAAGCATCCTCAACTCCAGACTGAGCTCCCCGGAGCCCCTTGCAGCAATCCTGTGGAGTGAGCCAGAAGCCCCGAATCCCTAAGCCCTAAACCCTAATCCACTAATCCGTAAACCCCTATGGACCCTAAACCGCAAACCCTGGCCCGAGTCCCCGAAACAAAGGTCGAAATAAGCCCCAGCCCTTCTTCTCCCGACCGTTCGAGGAGCAGCGGCCTCTGGAGAAGGCTCGTCTGGAAGCCGAAGAGGCCGAGAGGACGGTTTAGGTTGGGTGCGGCCCCTACTCAGTCATAGTTGAGCAATCTTCATAATGTAAATGTTTTAGGACCTTAATAGTAGCCCTATTATAGACTCCCACTGTATGGGGACAGTACCTAACATTTAGGGTTTAGGGTGCACGGAAATGGTGAGCCCTAAACCCGAAACACCAAAAAACCCTAAACTCCAAGCACCAAGTCCTGAGCAACAACCTCCTGCGAGCTTGTGGCTGCTGGGTCATTGAAGGGTATCTGAGTTTTCCGGGTCCATGAGGTGTTCGGGGGCGCCGCCTCGCCGAATGGACATGTTCAGTTCAGCAGTCGTCTCCCGTGCTCCGCCTGCCCGAAGCCCCAGAGACTCCAATATCCCTTAATTAAGGAATATATCTTAAATCATATTAGGGATCCTACTGTAATTTAAGGAATATTCCTCAATTACGGGATATCTGAAGGCTTACCGGCTGAGCAGAGGCGACCCCGAACGCCTGAACATTGAACCAGAGGGGGAGTCGAAGAGAGGGTGTGCGTCTCGCAGATGGCTCCGGGGCTTTGGGGTTCATAGCCCTAACCCCTAAACACTAAACCCTAAACCATAGGCTCTCAACCCTAAACCCTAAACCCTCGGGGAGCTTGAAAGAGTGGTTCAGGCTACGAGACGAGATCGGCAGCTGTGTGAAAGCCTGCGAGCTTCTGCGATGCACAAAGCTTTTGTTGGGGTGGGTAGGCTACTGCACTACTACGACTACTACGACTGCTACGACTACTACGACTACTACGACTACTCGACTACTACGACTACTACGACTGCTACGACGACTACTTCTACGACTACTACTACGACTACTACGACTACTACGACTACTACGACTGCTACTACGACTACTTCTACGACTACTACTACGACTACTACTACCTATTACTACTACTACTACGACGACGACGACTACTACTACTACTGCTACTGCTACTACTACTACTACTACTACTGCTACTACTACTACTACTACTACTACTACTACTACTACTACTACTACTACTACTGAACAGTTGTGTTTTTTTGTACACATAGACATATGTATCATATGCATGCACATGTACATGTCCATGTACATACTACGTACATATACCTGTATAGGTAACATACAAATACATGTACACTTGCATTTACATATACATATATACCCATGCACATATCTGTGTACATGTATACATATCTACTTATCTATACATGACATGTGCAGGTGTATGTATAGTATATTTATGTGTGTGTGTGTATGTATGTATGTATGTATGTATAGTTATGTAAGTTTTTGTATGTATGTATGCATGAATGAATGAATGTATGTATGCATGCAGGTAGGGTATGGTCTGGTCTGATGGTATGGTATGGTATGGCATGGCATGGTATGGTTTGTGTGTGTGCATGTATGTATGTATGTAGGTATGCCTGTAGTCAGGTATGTTTTATGTATGCATTAACATGAACGTACATATATATATATATATATGTATATATATATATAGAGGCACACTTGCACATACTTTTGCATATGCATGCACGGATGTATGTGTGTGTTTATATATATATATACATATGTATGTATGTATGTATGTATGTATATATATATATATATATATATATATGCATACATCCATGCATACGTGCCTGCTTACATGCATACATATGTACGTACAGTCGCAGCTGGACGACCTTCGAGATGCGTGTTTTTTTGGTTGTTTAGCAGGATCCATGATCTGATTTGGGGTTGCCTCAGTCTCACTGCCCGCCCTTGAGCGACCCTACCCAGCAAGAGTAGTCGTGGTGCGTTGAGGGCTCGGTTGACTGGTTTTCGGTTGTCACTCGTCTTGTCTTGTCATACTTCTACAGACGACTTCCCTAAATCCGAAGTGCTTTGTCCCAATTGTTTGCTTCGAGAGCCGAGATTAAAATTCGAGTGCTGAGACCACGACCACGATCCTAAATCTGGAATCCGGAATCCCAGCAGGAGTCCCCGCAAACAACGATTCGAACCCCATGGTACGAATAATGGAACCCCTAAAGGAACCCCTAAAAGCAACGCCTCTACATCCTTTCAAACCTCAAATTGTCAAATCCTAAAACCCCTCAATCCATAAACCCGTAAACCCGTACTTCCCTGATCCCTTCACCCCTGCCCTAAACCCTAAACCCTAAACCCTAAACCTGACCCCTCAGGCCCTTGAAAACCTAGACCCCCTGAGCCCTAAAGGCCCTGAAGCCCCTGAGACCGCGAGGCCCTCAAACCCCCAGACCCTAAACCCCTAAACCCTAAACCCTACTTGGAGATTCATGGGTAGTTATGAGTAGGGTTATCAGTAGGGTAACTATACTTATAACCCATATTAGGGGGGTTCTAACCCTAAACCTTAAATCCTAAACCCCTAAACCCCCTAAACCCTAAACCCTAGGACCCTCAGTACCTATGACAAGCTTAGACCTCTGGCCTTTAAACCCTACACTTCTAATCCCTTAAAAATTCAATCCTTATGGCAAGTTTGGACCCCAGGCCTTACGCCCTAAACCCTAATTCCAAAACCCCAAAATGCCAATGAACTTTCAACAGCTTCGACCCAAGGCCTTCAACCCTAAACTGAAACTCCAACGAACCACTAAACCCAAAACAGATGCCCGAAGCACGAAAGCGCTGAAACTCAAAGCCCTCAGACCCTAAACCCTCAAACTCAAAACCCTTAAACCCGAAGGCAAAATCACCAGACAAACAATCCTGATGCCGAGCAGCATTTGTCGTTGCTGCTGGGCAGTGGCCCTTTGCATCTGGTGGAGGAAATCGGCTGCTTTCGATGGAAGCGCTTCCACGCCTGGGTCGTAGAGCTACACGGATGGTAAGAAGCCACGTATAGCGGCAAGTTCAAGGCCGCTTGAATCATCTATGTCCTTCGTCGTAGTCTGGCTTCGCTCTTAAAGGTGCTGGCTTTCAGCTGACGATCGGACGATTGGAGGTTGCTGTGCCGGCTGATGCTACGCAGCTTGGATCCGAGCCCACCTGGGAACCGGCATGGACATGGTTGAGCTTAATCGCAAGGCATGGCTCTTAGGAAAGAGTTTCGAACGCATGTTGCTGTGAGCCAGGGCTTCTGGGGCTGTGGCGGGTACTCCTCTGTCTCATTGCAAGGGCCGCCAGCCCCTGAGATTTTGGGCTCCCGGTCCTCAGGTCCTCCCGTTTGCTGTGAAACTTTCAGAATTGCGAAGGGAGCAGAAAGCAGGAACGCATCCCTTGAGGGGGATTTGTGGGGCGAACCCTACTTGGGGTGGGGTGGGCTTGACTACAGGCTGACGCAAGCGCGTGACAAGTGGGTGTGCCGCCATTCCTAGAGAAGCACACCCACCAGGCGCACACTGTAGACAACCCCTAAACCCGTAAGCCCCCAAGCCACTAAAGCCCTAAATCCCCAAAGCCCTGGACCCTAAACCCCAAAGCCTAAACCCCTAAACCCCTAAACCCCTAAACCCCTAAACCCCTAAACCCCTAAACCCCTAAACCCCTAAACCCCCTAAACCCCTAAACCCCTAAACCCCTAAACCCCAAATCCCAAACCCTATAAACCCCTAAACCCCTAAACCCCTAAACCCCTAAACCGCAAATCCCAAACCCTATAAACCCCTAAACCCCAATAAACCCCAATAAACCCCAAATCCCAAAACCCTATAAACCCCTAAACCCCAATAAACCCCAATAAGGCGTTTGGCTTGCAGGGCTTGGCGTAGTTTCTCCTTTGGGGTCCGCCATTGCCTCCCTGCCGCCGAAACCCACGTGTGGATACGACATCCCACTACCGCCACTGGACTGTACGCTCGGCGAGGTCCTTGTGGCTTGACTGCCTCACCCAGGCGGTGGCTGGCTAAGGAGTTTTGTTCCCTCCTCGACCTGAGTCGTTGAGGGAACACTCTCCTTGTAAATTTTGACAGTGCGTGGTGTGGTGGTTTCTTTTGGCTGCACTGTGTACTATTTCAGCCGCGGACAACGACACTGCGGCGGAACTCCGAGCCGGCGTGGCACCGGCAAGTTCGCAAGAAGCGCACACAAGCGCGCACGCTTCTCAGAAGCTATACAGCTGGCTGGATTGGTTGGGACCGATCAGTGCTGGTTGCGATCTACAGGCTGCAAAGCCATCACTCGGGGTCAGATCTGCCCCGGCTCGCCCTACGACAGAGGAGAGCCGAGTTGAGGGCTTCCACGACTCCCCGTGGGAACGAAGACATGGCGGAGTCTGCAAGAGCAAAGGGACAGTCGTGGTGGTGCGTGGAATGCAGAAAGTACGTTCGGCACACCGCGGCCTTTTGTCCGGACTGTGGAAAACCATGGAGGATGGTGGCCTACAGTGGACAAGCAGAGGACTCAGCATGGCAGGAAGGAGTGGAGCAGAGGTGGCAGCAGCCCTGGCCGGAGAGAGGAACTTCTCCAAGGCCCAGGCGACCCAAGTCACCTCGCACTCGTTCCAAAGGGGACAGCAAGGGCAAAGGCAAAGCGAAGGGAGGCAAGGATCCGGGGAAGGCAAAAGGGTCTTCCGCGGGCGCTCTTGGCGCCAAGGACCTCTTAGATGCCTTGCCGCGTGCGCCCTCTACCACACAGGTGACCATGCCAGCGAGTTCTTCCGGATCAGATGGTCAGGACAAGACACCGGCGATCATGGATCTTATGCAGGCTTTGGCTGCAGTCAAGGAAGAGCTGCCTCAGTCTGTACGTTCGGCCCTCCAGAGTCACTTGGAAGAGGATGCCAAGTTGACGTCACGGGGCTTGGACAAGCTGGTTTCGCAGCAGGCCCAGGCCAAGAAGGAGTTGCTTGCTATCCGAGGGGCGCGCGAGCAATTCCTACAGGAGTAGGCTTCGTACATAGGAGCCCTATCGGAGCTCTTAGAGAAGCAAATGGCAGCCAAGGCGGAGAACCTTCGGAAACTCGAGGAGTCCGAAGACAAATGGCTGCAGCAGTTGCACAGCACAACGAAGGCCATCACCTCCAGTTCGCAGATGGACGAGGTGGTGGATGTGGAAGCCATGGAGACTGCTGTGGACGAGGATGCGGCTCAGGAAGCCGCCAAGACGGAAGCTGCCAACAGAGCATTGGCAGTGGAGGCGTCGCTATCCGAAGCTCTGCAGAAGGCCAAGGCTGCTGCAGACCAAGAAGCCAATGCGGGTGCGCCGAGAGAGCGTACGCCGCGACGATCAGTGACCAGAGAGGACAAGACGGCCCCTGGACAGGGAGCCGAGACTCCACACCCTGGCAAGGCCCAGTGACGAGCCCCACGGGGTTCACTGGGCCTCCTTTGCCCTACAGGGCAAATGGAGTTCGGAGCGAGCAGGACTTTGTTCGCCTTGGTGGGCCAACATTGTGGCCATTTGTGTTGCTGCAGAGGTCAGGTTCGACAATATTCCCTTTGACTTTGCAGCGAGCCTTTTCGACGCGGTGGATCCGCGTCTCGCGTGGCCAAAGGAGGATGACGCTTGGGAGACTGCGCCTCCAGCCATTGACGAGAACTATGAATACAAGGAAATTTTCCTGCACAAGGCATCTTTTGATGGGACAATGTGCCTTGAGGAACGCTTTCGGCATGCTCTCCCCTCAAGCCTGGGAGGGCGCAAAGCTGGCATTGCACTACGAGTCGAACTGGATGGGAGTTCGGCCTTCTTCAATGCCTGCAGTCGAGCTTTGAATACGGTTCTGCACAGTTTTGGGAGTTGTACAGCTTTGCAGACCCGGGTGAGCCAGGACCTTTCTAGGATCAGGTCCTCTTCACGACCGTGTGTCGCGTGCTTCCGAGGACCCTCCTCGCGCATGGGTTGGCAGGAGGTTGAACTTGATGTGCCGCAGACTACGGGGTATGATGGGGATCGGGATCCTTGTTGGTCCTGCTTCACAGGGAAGCCTGAAGTTTTCCATAGGATGTACAGAGGTGTTAGGGCGCTAATGGGTAGCGATCGCAGCATCTCTATTGCTTCCTCTGGCCTTGCCGGTGCTCGGGATGGCTCCTTCAAGGTCGGCGTGGCGTCCTCCACAGACGTCTTCAGCGCAACAAACACCCTTTGGCATGTGCAGTCTGTTGCTGTCACTGCCAAGACCTGCTACAGCCCAAGTGCTCACACGGAGGTTTCTCCTCCGCAATACCCTTCCAGCCCTTCCATGGCTGGCACAGTAGACGCAGTTTGTTGCCAGGAGCGCTCCAAGGCCGGTACCCTGTCGAACCTTTGCGCTCCTTCCTTTCCGCGGGCAGCTCCTGCTTTGCCTGCTCTGCCTACTGACAAACCATGTGCACCGCGCGCTTCCCTCGCCCAGCCAAGTGTCACGGACTTGCACATGATCCTGGCTTCCCACGTGCATGTTGGCCCTGCGTGGCTGACAGGGCCTTTCTTGCACTCCAGAGCCTTTGATGTGACCCGACTCGGAATAGGGTCAAATGCCCATGATCAGGAGGCCAGGTACACGATCTTAGAGTACCGATGTGACACCATCGTGCGTAGAGCCTTGCCTGACCGGTCCCCCATGGAGTATGTGGCGCATGCGATTCGTCAAGTGACATACCGCGTGCACTCGGTATTCTTCCTCGAGATTCCCATCCCCGGGTATCCGTGCCCTCAGCTTGTGCTCACGCCTGTCGGGCTGCCTGCTGGATACCGCACTGTCCCTGTCGACTTGCGTCCTATTCAGGGCATGCTCCATGTCATCAAAGCTGGCAGAGGTACTGAGGTTGAAGCACTTTGGCCGGTTTTGCAAGATAAAGGGGTGGCAAACGCACAAAGGGCAGAGGAAGCCACTCGTGATGGTCGGCTCCTCTTTCTGGATCAATCGGGTCAGGGTCAGCTGCAGCTCGCCTCTTTGCCGGACCTGCAATGGCTTGATGTTCGTCCGGCCGACCCTGTTGCAGAACAGCCTTTTGCCGTTGAGTATGTTGGCGGGGGTCCAATTGTTTTTCGGGTTAATAGGCCTCCTCCTGCATTTGCACCACCCCGTGGCTCTACGGCGGCCGACATCGAGGCCATGAGGGCAGCGGATTGTGACTCCATGGCGGCATCCTCTACTGCCACCACGACCCTTATGAAGGTTGGTTGCACAGGTCTTCCAACCGGCCCACACGATCCGAGTACTGGGCCACCAGCAGCAGTGTTCCCGGAGAAGGAGCCTCCCTCCTTGCTGTTCCGCCACGATGGAATCGAAGCTGAGTCTTCTAGGTCGGATATCAATGATGACACGCCGCAGGTTGTTCCTGGCTTTCTGAGGACCGACAGGTTCCAACAGGCCAATGTTGATGCCTACTCATGGGGTATGGACGGGGGGCCAAGACAATCCTTTACAGTCTTCGATGTTGTGCGCCATGCCACCACGGCCCCGAGACCTCGAGAAGGCACGCTTGCCGAGATCATTCGATCTGCGGTGCTGGCAGCCCCTTTCCAGGTTGGTGCTGTGCAGGTCCTCATGCATGGCGTTAGCGGTCTCCCACAACCGCAGCTGGTATTATACCAACGCCATCTTCCCAATGGATATGTGCCCATTCCGTGGGACCTCCGTCCGGTCGGAGGTGAGATCTACACTGTCAACCACAAGCCACAGGAGTCGAAATTGGACGCCATAGCCAGGCTCAGAACGGCAATGACCGACGCAGAGGGGCAAAGAGTGTGCGACCCCCTGGAAGCTGGGCACTTCACAGCTCTTGATGCTGTCGGTATCATAGGGGCTGCGCTCCCCTTGGTGTTGACTGAGGTTCAACATTTCGTGGTTGAACCGGCATTCAATGGCTTTGCTTTTCCTGCCGTGGTTGACCCATGGGGGACCTCGCCGGCCCCCTTTTTCTGGCCGGTTGACGGGCCTCCTTCGACCTCCTCAACCACATCAACTACATCCACTGGCCCTGCTTCTGATGTCGGCTCTTTCAGATTCACCATGCTTTACGGCCCACACACGCACAGTGCCGTTGTCCAAGCTCCCTGCCTGCAAGCTGACGCGATCCTTGAAAGATTAATTCGTGAAGTGCTTGCCCAAGGGTATCCATACGATGGGCCTTTCTTTCTGATGATGGCGGCTGGGCAGCCTGCTCCTGGGGACAACCAGCAAGAGGTAATCTTCCTCTTGTGCAGCTCTGTGCATGATCGAACTGCCACGATCGTGGTGGATGAAAGACTGGGTGGTCATCCCCTGTGCTCACAACGTGTTGCTCCGCAGACGATGTGTGATCGCCTGATCACAGATGCTGGCATTCAGCAGGGGGTATCAGTTGTGGTAAATGGTGCCCCAGCTCGACTAGCCCCGAAATGGGCTATGCAGGGTGACTTTATCCAGTTCGATGAAGGACGCGGGCCGCCGCCCTTTACACCCACTAGCTGGATTCTTCGGCAGCTCCCTGTGCTCTTGCCATTCTCCTGGCCATTGCATGTCGGCGACGGGGTGTACTCGCTCGATGTTCCAGGCACGGCGCGGCTTCGTAGACGTGCCCAGGGAACTTTCCACCCTGCTGAAGGAGGCTGTCTGGTTCTAGGTATTCACCACGGACCAGTTGCTTTCAATCTTGGGCAGCCTGTGGTTCCATCCTTGGATGAGATGCAGACAGGCCTTGCCCTGCTCGAGGACTGCCCGCCGGCCATGTTGGAAACATACCGCACTTCTGCGACGAGCATCTCAGAACGCACGGTGTTCGTCTCTGCTCCTTCGCAGTTTATGTTTCGCACAGTACCGGCTCCATGTTTGGATTTTGCAGGGCACTATGTCGCTTATGCGGTACGGCCAGAGCATATCGAGCTCCAACTGGCCCTGCCGCAAGGTGTGGCATACCGGCGGCCACAGAGGAGACACGAGCATGGTGACCTGCTTGAGATATTTAGAGTGGCGAGATGCGCATGGCCACTGATTTTCTACATGGAGCATAGGCTGCCTTTTCCCCCGGCTGTCCTTGCTGCGGTTGCGCCACCACCGCAACCTCAACCTCAGCAGCCTCAGCAGCCTCAGCAGCCTCAGCAGCCTCCGCCCCGTGGCGGAACTGCACTCGCGCAGCTTCCTGATTTTCGAGGCAAACAGCGCAAGCGCTGCGAGCAACTTCAGAAGCTGCATCCCACAGTCTCCTGTCCATGCAATGAGGGCGCATTTCAGTGTGACGGGAGTCAGATTGAAGAACGCCGCGTTGACAACACCATGCCAAGCCCTTCGAACCCTCCACAACTTCAGGTGGTTCCTACTCCCTTCGGGCGTAGGCGACTCACCACTGGGACGGCAAAGGCTTCCTTTTCGGACGGCGCGGCGCCGCGGCAGCGCATTGACCTTGCTAGTGCTCTCCCGATAGAAGGCCCTGTTCAGGATCTTCGGTGTTGCCTTGGTGCTTTGGCCCTTCCTTGGTTGGACTTCCTGCATCAGGACCTAAGCCCGGTCGATGACATTCCGGATTCCTTCTGGCAGGCTTTGGCACATTGTGAGGTTCCTGCTACCAAACCCACACATGTACACCTGTTTGTGGACGGATCCCAACTAAAACAAGTCCCCGGGCAGCCCTGTGGCTGGGGACTTGTGGTTGTATACGAGTTTGCCTTGCCAGACAGACGAGCCTTTGCCTTTGGGGGTTCTGCTGGCGGTAATCTCGAACCGTTCCTCGGTAGACCATTGGGGGCCACACTTGATTCCTTCAATGCTGAAGTGGCTGCTGCTATTGTCGGTGTTTGTTGGTCCTTGGCTTTGCCCCATGGCCTCCATGCTACGGTGTGGTGTGACTGCTCTGCTGTCTGTGGCATACTGCAAGGCGTGATGTCGGCCAAGGCCGGTACCAGTTGCACTTCTCTTGCCCAGCGACTTCGTTTCATTGCTCAAATCAAGGAGCATCGTCCCGGAGGTGGGGGGAAGGCTAATTGGCTACCGGGCCATTGCGGTAACCCCTTCAACGAACTTGCTGACCGCGTGGCCAAGGCAGGAGCAAGGCATTGCCTCCACCAAAAGCTCCCGACCGCCCTCTGGAAGTTGCTCCAGCATGATCTACTGTCGTGGGCATGGCTCGAAGTTTCCCACAACTCTGCCTTTCCGACACTCGAGGCCCTTGTGTCGGGGAGATACGAACCTCGTGAGCCTGACCATTGCTGGCCGAAGCCGCTCGTTGCAGACCCTGCCGTGTGTCGCCAAGGTTGCTTTCCGGGTCGTCTCCTGAAATGTTCAGACCCTCAAGAACAAGCAGCTGGCCGATCGTGGGGCCGGAGTGATCGGTCTCCAGGAGACCAGGTCCACCCAAGCGCAGCAGATTCGAGGACAGACTTTCTTCGAGTTCTCTTCTGCGGCGTCTCAAGGAGAGGGCGGATGCTCCATACTGTTCAGCCGGGTTCAGCCTTACGCTTTCCAAGGCAAACGGCCTTTGCTTTTTCAGATGGAGCATTTTACCTGCCTGCATGCCGCACCGCAATGCCTGGCGATACGGGTACACGCACCATTCTTGCAGGCGGTTTTTGTGTCTGCGCACGCGCCCACTTCGGCGCATCCCCTTTCAGAGCGCACACAATGGTGGAAGGACCTAGCCCAGCACGCTTGGATGAAAGCCTTCTCTGGGCGCATTATCCTCCTTGTTGATGCCAATGCTCAGGTGGGGTCAGTTGTGACCGAGGGCATTGGCCGTCACGCTGGAAGCGTGGAAAATTCCTCAGGCGCCCTGTTTAGGGAATGGGTTGCGGAGGCTGAGGGTTTTGTTCCATCCACCCACTTTGATGCTGCCGGCGACTGTGTGCCCTCAGCTCTTGAAGGCACTTGGGTGTCCCCATCTGGATGTGAGTACCGACTTGATTACATCGCCTTTCCGATGGCATGGAGTTGCCGGGCTCTGGCCCCAACGGTCTGGAGAGACTTCGAGCTCCTCAACAAAGATCATTTTCCCGTTGTGGTCGATGTTTCCTTTGAGATTGCTGGGCAACTCCGTGCTAGCCAAAAGCGTCACTCTGCCCTTGTTCGCGACCCCGAGGAGTGGCCACGGCAGGCTGTTGAACAGTTCGCACAAGGTCTTGCCAGCCTTGCTCCGGCAGCTTGGTCTGTGAATGTGCATGAGCATACCGAGGCGCTCTTTTCCCAGGTTCTCGAATTAGGGGTGCTATGCAAGCCTGCCCGTTTCAGGCGCTGTCGGGCCTTCGTTTCGGATTGGTCGCGGTGGTGGCTCGAGGCCACCAAGTACTGCAAAAAAGCCATAACGAATTGGTCGGCTCTGGCCAAGAGGCTTGAGCGCCAGCTCGCCCAAGGGATGCCGGCGCGCTCTTCAGAAGGTTGGGATCTGCGGCAGGTGCGTGACCTGCTCAGCTATGCTTGTGCGACCCTGACTTCTTGCCGCAGAGAGCTCAGGCGCAGCCTGCAGTTTGATAAAGGGGCCTTTGTGAGGCGAGCGCACGACCGCCTATGCAATTCTGCAGATCCCTTCAATGCTAAGGAGTTCTTCAAGGCCTTACGCCTTCTGCGCCCACCGGGCAAAAAAGTCCTCAAGCCATTCTCCGTTCTACGTGTTGCTGACTGCTTGGATGATTCCTTCCAAGGGCGGTTGGCTGCACAGCAGGAGCATTTCGCGAGCCTTGAGGCAGGCATCAAATGCACCATACAAGAAGTGCTGCAGCCAGCACCTGATCCGGAGGATGATGCCAGGTTTGCTCTTGCGGAACTTCCCACCCTAGCCGATGTTGAGTGTAGCATCCGTTGCTTCAAGAAAGGGAAGGCGCCAGGCCCTGAAGGTATCCCAGATTGGGTGTGGACCTTGCAAACAGAGAAAGCTGCCCAGCTTCTTCTGCCTCTGTGCCTGAAGACACATGTTCGTTTGTCCGAACCGATCAAGCTGAAATCCACCCAGCTTATCGCCCTCTTCAAAGGTGGTTCCCCTTCGAAGGTCGACTGCTTCAGAGCCATCGAGCTCATGGCAGGTCCGGGCAAGCTTCTTCGGAAGCAATTGCGTTCCGCTCTCATTAAGGCCCTGCCGGCAGCTGAGTTTCAGCAAGGTGGTCTTCCTGGCTCGTTGTTGCAAGGGGCCCACCATGCCCTCCGCACCCACCTGGCTTTTGCGCACTCTCAGAAATTTTCCACTGCGGCAATATTCATGGACGTGTCAAGCGCATATTACTGGAGATGTGGCCAACGACGACCAGATTTGTCAAATCTTGCATTTGCTTGGAGTCTTGCCGGAATCGCTACACACTGTATGTGATTGGTTAGCAGGAACACATCTTTTGCAACAGGCATCGCCACACTGCCAGCGGATCTTATCCGAGTTCCTGCGTGGCACCCACTTCAGCCTCCGTGGATCTGCCGATGTTTACCGTACCCAGGCGGGCACACGACCGGGGGATGCCCTTGCGGATGTCCTTTTTGCCATGGTGCAGGCGGACTTCCTCACTGCTGTTGAACGTCGGCTGTTGGATGAAGAGCTTTTGTCGGACCCCGTCTCTGAGGCTGCCTTCTCTAGTCCAAAGTTGATCGCACCTACGTGGGCGGACGACGCTGTTCTCCTTCAGGCCTCTGCCAACGCTGAGATCCAACTCGCCAAAACCACACGCACAATGGTGATCCTGCACGAGGAATTCCTGCGGCGTGCCATGCTTCCCAACTACAAGCGCGGCAAGACTGAGATACTGTTTGCCTTTCGGGGTAAGCAGGCACCAGCTCTGAGGCAGAAACTCCTGATCAAGCAGGGAGGAGTGCTGCGTTTTGATGCTAATGGTGCCTCTATTGCCGTTTGCTGTGTTAAGCGCTATGTTCACTTGGGCGGGCATGTGACTGAACGTCCGGGCGCGGCCGCCGACATCCTGCAACACGTCGCTGCAGCAACAGCCGCTATTCGGCCCCTGCGACGCGCTGTTCTGCGTGATGAGGGTATACCCCTACCTGTACGCAAGATGTGCCTCTCGTCGTTAGCCCTTAGTACGGCTTCATCGACGGCTGCAACCTGGGGTCGCCTCAACCTTGCTGAGGCCAATACCTGGAACCAGGGATATGTCAGGTTGCTCAGATCTCTGAGTTGGGACGACAGGTTCACCGGGTGTCCCTCGCTGCCGGGGGAAAAAGACGTGTGCAGGCACTTCCGCATGCCCTCACCAAGAGTCTTTCTTCGTGTTCAAAGACTGCGGCACTTTCAGCGCCTTGTGTTGACGCAGCCCTCTCTTCTTGACCTGCTTGTCACCGAGCACCGGCTTTCGCCGACTACTTCATGGCTAGGCCTCCTGCAGGAGGATGCTGAATGGCTGTGGGGTCTATCTGTGATTCCGGCAGAGGCCAAGCAGTTCCCAGAAGGTTTTGCCGAATGGTCGTTGCATCACCCGGCAGCTTTCCGCACTGCCACACGGCATGCCTCCATGGCCTTACTCCAGCCACACTACGAGTCTGCCTGGGCTGATCCTGAGACCTGTAGCCGACTACCCTCGGCCAAGCCTTGGTCCTGTACCAGTTGTGGTGCCGCCTTTGCGAGCCATCAGCAATTGACCGCGCATCGCTTTGCAGTCCACGGACAACAATGCGAAGCACGTCGCATAACACGTGGCACCATTTGCCACGTGTGCTTCACACAATTCTGGTCACGAGCGCGGCTTTTGCGTCACCTTCAGCATGACTCGCCGAAGTGCCTGTCCTGTTTGTCGGCACACCAGATTGTTGAACGTGCTGATGACACGGTCGCACCAGACCCCACTTTGTCAGACCTCCCGAGCACCAAACTTGTCGGGCCCAAATTGCCTCTCTGGCAATCTGTAGGAGAGTTGGCTAGTGCGCTGCTAGATAACCCTACAGTTCGACACGCTTGGAAAGGCAAGTGGGTGTCACCTGCGATGGAGCAGTGGCTGGATGCAGCTGCGGCCATTGATGAGCAGGATTCCTAATTACTTTGCCACTGCATGTTTTTGCCAGTCTTTCTGTACAGTTGTTTGGCGCTGCGTCGACATCGACTCTTCAGCATGAAAGCCAGAAAGCCAGAAAGCCAAACCCCAATAAACCCCTAAACCCCAAATCCCAAACCCTAGAACTTGAGACCCAAGGCCGAGCTCCAAGAGGAGCAGCGCAGGGCCGAGACCTCGGCAGCCGAGGCGCTTCGACTCCGCGGCGAGGCCTTGGGCTCTTTTCGGGGCTCCTTCTGTTTTTTTTTTTTTTAGGGTTTAGGGTTTAGGGTTTGGGGTTTGGGGCTTGGGTTTAGGGTTTAGGCTTTGATGTTTGTTTTTCAATTTTTTCAAGTCTTTTTGAGGGTTGGGTTGTTTTTGGCTTTTTATGAAGGGGTTTGTTTGTAGGTTTTTCGAGGGCCTTTTTGGAGCTTCTTACTACCTTCAAAAAGTGGTTTATGGGGAACTTGTGTTTTTGTTTTGAGAATAGGGGGGGGGGTTTGGTTTAGTTTCCAGGGTTCTATGCGGGGTCGATTAGGACTTGCAGGGATTGACAGGTTCGGGATTTGCGCTAGTGGTCGGGGATTTAGAAGTTTTGGAATTAAGGACTTCACCCTAAACCCTAAACCCTGTCAGAGTTTACGGCACGGCGTTTTTTCGGGGATTTGGAGTTTCTGCCTGGGACTTACAAGGGTTTTGGGGGTTTAGGGTTTAGGGTTTAGGGATCCTTTGGTCGGTCTCCCGCGGGCAGAACAAAGCCGTCGTTTAGTAGATCTGCTTCGTGCCTTGTGTTTGCGAAACGGGTCGTCTATCGTGTTGTTTCCTCATGGCCGTCAGTCCTCTGCGCAGGTTTATTTAAGAGGCTTTCAAGCGTTGATAGGAATTTCTCAGGCTACTGACTGCTGGTGCAGTCGCAGAAATCTTGTCAGCTCTGTGAAGGGTATGTTTTGGGATTTCATTGTGCCGTTTCTACTTGTATTCATTGGCGGGGCTTTGCTATGGATGTGCCGGCAGCATGGACTTCACTGGTCCCGCTCTTCGCATCCTCGTTTCCGGACGCTACTGCCAAACGGGTAGTAGTAGCACTTTAGTCGCAGTGTTTCTAATGGTTCGTGGACATGAAAATTACTCCTGTACCGTCATTCCTTTGAAGTCTGCCTGTCGACCTGCTTCGTCAAAACCCAAATGACTATCCTTCCTTTTCTGTTGCGGAGGCGAGTCTCCACTGTATTGGATACAAAAGGCAAAAGGGGCATTTCAAGCCTGACAACCCTAAACCCTAAACCCTAAACCCTAAACCGTCTAAACGAGAGTGGAGGGCCCAGGGGGGTGGCCTCGAGCTTCTCGCACCAGGGCACCCTTCTTCCGTGCGCCCTGAATTCAACGCTTGAGCCCGAAAGAGCCACCACGAAACCATTAAGCCCTTAAGGAACCGCGACTAAACCCCAAAGCCCTTGAGAAACCAGCCCAAAACCCCGAAACCCGCAACCCCAAACCCTAAACCTCCAATGAGCCATGAGGTGCAGGAAGCCACGAACCGCGCCTCTGCCATGGAGGCTTCTGTCCAGCGAGAGACCGAGGTGAACGCCGCTTTGGAGGAGCACCGCATCTTCTCCTTCTCAAGTTTATAGGGACTGTGTAGGTTGTTTTGGGTGGTTGTTTTCAATTTCAACGTCTTCATATGTAGGTCTTTGAGACCAGCATACCTGATTCGTTAAGGATTCTAAAAGGGTTTAGTATCGAAGGGCTCATGATCCTAAACCCAAGCCCCAAACTCCAAGCCGTAAACCCTCAACCAGAAATATACACCAACAGTCGACTCCGACTAGGGAGGGTACTTTGTTTTTCTTCGAGTTGTGTAATGTTTTTCTGTGGGGGACACCTTCCCGACACCCAAAAGCCAAAACCCTCAACCCGAACCCTAAACCCAAATTGTTGTATGCAGATTCTTGATTTTGAAACGCTCAACTCAAAGCTCTCATCCCACGGCCGCACACGATGCATCGACGGACAGCAGTCCTAGAGACGTTAGTCCCTAAACTCTATGAACTCAGACCGACTCACTCGCTCATGCATGAAAAACCTCAGACCGACCCCTAAATCTTAAACCCTAAACCCTAAATCCTAAATCCCTCAACCCGGAAATCTACATCCCCGCATCCCACAGCCTTCGCCCTGAAACGGCCGAGGGTTTACAGTCGAAGCCCACAACTTGGAAACCCCATAGCCTCGATCCTTCAGAGGAATGTATAGGGAATCCCAGCACTATTTGGCCTTAATCCGGTTTCCAACTTTACGGGGTTTACTATATGGGAGTTTCCGCAAAATCGGGGACCCTAATATAGGACCCTAAATAGTAGGATCCTTATTGTAAGGACCCTACAATGAGGCTTGGGGTTTACTGTGCAGCTTTTAAGTTTCGGTTCGTGGCCCCGACCCAAGCAGTGATATGCCCGTATAGTCTCTATACGTCAATATGCTCCAAAACCTTATCTTAATAAGACCTTAATCCCTAAGCCCCCGACACCCCAAACCCTCAGACCCTTCAACCCTTAACTCCCAAACCCTAGCAGCCCTAAGCCCTAAACCCCCCCCCAGCGACAGGAGCAGTGCGCCGCAGCCTGCACGGAGTGGGGACGCTCCAAGGAGGCGGTCGCTGCAGCCAGGCGGAGCCTGAAACTAGAGGAGGCTTTATTTGAGGTCTCGGGCTTTCAAGGGTTTTGAGGTGATTTTTAGGGCTTTGAAGGGTTTTTTAAAGAAAGGTTTTTAGGTTTTAAGGTTCCGGTATTGTTGATGGGTTCTCTCCTTGAGGGTGTGGCTGCTCGTGCTTCCCAGATGTTAGAAAAGCAGCAAGCACCATGGTTGTGCAAACATGAGATACATGAGCTGCAGTCATCCGAAGGTTGGTTCCGACTCAAGCACAAAACGACAAATCATCCAAGGTAGCCGGTGTGAGCCAAGTACTTAAATCACCCCCCATTGCCCGGATCCGACAGCCGTTTGGACAAGTTAAAGACAGTATAGTCAGCAATGCCTAGTGCTTGGGGATTGAATCTTGTCCATACATTCCTGAGATCATAACCTAAGACTGGTTCAACAAAACCCAACGCCTGCTATATTGATGTACTATGGGGGCCTAAATACTTACCAATACTCTTTTGGGTTCCTTATTTTAAAGATAGTATCATGGGCCCCTAAACCCTATTGCAATTATTAAGGCCCCTACATCATGCCAAGCAGTTGCCAGAATACGCTTGGAACCACAAGATGAGGTCGCAAGTATTTTGAGTTAAGGCTTATGCCGCTACAGTTCGTAGATTATCCGTGACACTGAAAGATGAGATCATCTACATCGGATTGCGAGGTTCCGGACGTGGGAGCTTTGAAAATTACGCGGGATTAGGGTTTTGGGGGTTTAGGGTGTGAGGGTTTCTAAAGATCGTGGGCCATGGGAGACGGAGCATGCAGAGTCCCTTTCTTTGCGTCACTTCTCTTCGTCCTGTCTGGCTTGGTTGCTGTGTTTAATTGCCCCGAAGGGTCTTGTCGATTCAATACCCTGCGTCTCGCGCAGAACGAGCCGCCGTCTTCGGATCAGTTGCAGCATGAGAAGCCAACCTTCCGCAGACCGACCAAGGGCGTGGCGACAGCGGTGAGCCCACCAAGGTTGAGGATGTTGAACCAATCAAAAGTGTGGTCGACGTTATGTGGAGGTCATCCGTGTTTGGTATTCAGGCACATGAGCAAGACCGGCGGTACATTCGCCCAGGCCTTGTTGGAGCAAGTGGTAGCAAAACCCTTCCTTCGCATCGTCAGTGACAGAGACACACTGACGCCCCAGTTGCGCAGTGGGAATTTTATCTTGGGGACGATGCGAAACCCCTGCGACTTGCAGGTAAGTTTAGCTCACTTCGCCCCGGCAAAGGCCTTCACGGGTGCGTGGCGCACCATGGGCCCGGCCATCCGGCCGAAGAAGGAGCTTTGCGATCGAGGTTTGGAGAGCTCCGTCTTCCAGAGTTGGGTCTTAAACTCCCGTCGCAAGACGCGACTCGGGCCGGTGGGCATTCAGAGCGTGCGATTCTGGCTGATGTACTTGGCATCACACAAGTGCCTGCCAATTGTCCGAGCATTTGCAGCTAAGGGGCCAAAGAACAGAGAGAGCTTGTGGCAGTACTCAAAATCGAGCAGGGAAGCAAACTGCACAGAAGCGCACCTGCATTCGAGCTTGAAGTCTTTTCGCCCGACCAAGGTTGCAGATTGCTGGATGTTCACAGAAACCTATTGGGAAGATTTAGAGCGGTGCCTGCGGCTCTACGGCAGCCTCTCTGAAACACTGGCATCTTCCATTTCCTGGGAAAGGTTCTATGCGATTCGCGCGAACATTTCCTTGGCTCTCAGTGCAGACGACCGCCATTCTCCGGAGAGGAAGTCTCGGCAAACAAGCTGCAGTGCGTACTTTCAGCAGGAAGCATTCCGAAAGCTAGAGATGGATGCAGACGTGCACCTGTTCTCGCGCTTTGGGTACCAATGCTGCGGCGCCAGGCAGCCAGGGGGAAACCACAGCTGAGCACGGCAACAAGACATTCTGACAGAATCTGTGATGAAAAAGGGCAGTAGAGTAGCTTACAGCGGTGATGGTTCTTTGCTCGATGGCCTCGGCTGTGTTTGGCGGTGCTCAGCTTGTCTCAACTTAGCTTGTCTCAACTTTGAACAGTCTCACGGCGTGCTTATCACCTGAAGTGCATGCTTACCGTGTATTCGTCGCAGCCTATGGGGGCTGGCAGCTTGCCTGAGAAGCTCAAGGCGAGATAAAGGTCTTCAGCTGCAAGTTCCGAGTCCCTCATTCCAGGGCTCTGCCCTGAACCATCAAGTTGCTGTGCTGTATCGTATTGTGTGATACTATATCCTGTTTTATATTTTGTTATGTTGTACAATATCATATTACATGACATTGTCTGATAGGATACTCGAATCTAGCGGCTTCCTTCATGTAGCGGTAGCTTCAGAAGGATCCTGGAGGCTAGAACTTCAGGGAGCTCACTTTAGAAAAAGGGGGCGCGGAATGATCCCAGAGACTCCATTAATTAAGGAATATACCTTAAATCATATTAGGGATCCTACTAAAATTTAATGAATATTCCTGAAATAAGGGATATTGGAGTCTCTGGGATGAAGAGTCGCTCCGTAGAGTCCCTGATATAACGATGGCATCATGTGGTCCCCACCTCCCGTTTCCCTTCAGAAAGCCCCAGATCTTGAGCGAATGCTCAACTTACCTTCGGTTGGTAGGGAATGGAAGAATGGTAGTAATAGTAGTTATAATTGTACCCCGTTCCTCCATTCCCTACTACCCAAAGGCAAGTTAAGTGCTTAAGGCCTTTCGAACCGGGAGCCAAAGATCCGAGGCCATAAAATACAGAGGACTATCTGGGAGTTTCCGGAAATTAGGGGTTCCTTATTCTGGGGTCCTTACAATCAGGATCCTACTGTTCAGGGTATTAATTTAGGGTCCCCCATTTTCGGAAACTCCCATCTTCTGCTTGTGTTTAGGAGTCCGGGGGGTCAGGGTTCAACATGCTTCTATGAGTGCCCCTGCCAGGAACCCTTCGTGTCTTCGTTTATTTCTCGTTTGTCCCAGCCATATCTTTATGCAGTGCTTCTACCTGAATGGATCTTGCGGTTACAGATTTTGCATCTGCTAGCTTCTGCGAGCTCAAAATCTCGACAGTCACGGTGTCTGTAGGTTTGTAGGGCACCGAGTGCAGTAATGTACCCCACACATCTACAGCCTCTTTGACTTCACCTCAGGCGCGTCAACAGGAAAACCGCTTCAGACAACTCCGCCCAAACCTGATGCTCACAAGTTCCATCCGAACAACCCTAAGAAGCCTAAGAAGCCTAAGAACCCTAAGAACCCTAAGAACCTTCAGAACCCTAAACGCTAAACCCATCCGAACAACCCTAAGAAGCCCCAATGTTGAGAATCGCCAGGAAACGTCTGGAGGAGAGGGGCTCCGCGTACAAAGCTCTGCGGCTGGCCGTGTGGGACTACCACCAGAAGGCTCGTTGGGTAGTTATGGTCCCTTAAAGGGATCCTCTAGGGTTTCTATAAGGTTTCTATAAGGGTACTATATTACTATATGGGTAGTTGTCAAAATTATGGCCCCTAATTGAGTACCTCAAGTATTAGGTGCCGTATTATAATAGGGACCCAAAAAGGGACGATAATTTTGACAACCACCCAGTTGTTTGCGAGCGAAAAGCTAAGGGGAGCTTTAAACCCCCAAGAAAAACCTTCGACTTCGAGTGTTTGGTTTCTTTTTTGCTCAGGTTTAGGACTTGGAGTGGGGCTCCATAGAGATTCAGCAACGTGCTTTATGACGGCCACTCGGATTTCAGTCCCCCGACGTGGAGAGTGATCCTAGGCCCGAAGTCGGTTTGGGGTTTAGGGTTTAGATACTGAGCTCTGGAAACTTCAAGCCCCGAACTCTCTTGACTGCTCTCCTGGCGCTGATGCTGGCTGTAGTAACTGTAGTACGCTGCGTCAGGCTGCGACTTTCGCTGCTACAGCTACGGCGAGTGCTAGTGCTGATGGTATTTCAGTCGTGGTACTCGGACCTGTACGGGCAAGTAATGCTCGTACTGCTCGATGTCGGTATGAATCGTTGGCATCATCAAACATGGTTTCGGTTCATGGTGTTCGGTGTATGGAGTCGGTGAGTTAAGGGTCTAGTCGTTTTAGGCTAGGCCAAAACCCTAAAGGCCCTAAACCCCTAAAGACCCTAAACCTTAAAGGCCCTAAACGCCTTAAACCCCTAAAGGCCCTAAAGGCCCTACATGCCCTTATCCCCTGCGTCGAAGGTGAGCCGGCGCCTGTCGGCCCTTGAGCAAGCCTTGCTGGAGGCAGGGCATCAGGGTTGGCAGGTGTAGGGCTTTCTTTTAAAAGTAGGAGTTCTTAAATGGTTCGTTTTTATGCGATTTTTTTGCGATTTTATAGGACTTTTTTATCATTTTGGGTTTTGGAGTTTCGGGTGTAGTATGGTTTAGGGCCCGCGTGCAGGGCGTAGCCAAGCATCGGCGAGCAAACACAGGAGTTTGAACATGGATGGCCACTCCGGCACAACGTTCCCCAGCGAAGAATAGGAAATACAAGGCCTCAGCATTGTTGTTCAGAGTTCGCTAGTGAAGCTTTATTATGAAATACGATCCTACATAAATGAAAAGACACATGAATAAGTAAACGAACAAATAGACACACACACACATAAATAAATAAACATATATATATATATATATATATATGTATATTTACACAGTTACACACAAACACCCACCTCGAATCCCTATTCTAATTACTAAGCTCTTGTCATTCTTTCGTGCCGGATTTTTACTGTCTTTGACCAGATGTAGTCTGCAGTTTCCAATGTTTCTACGAGTTGAGGCCCAAATACGAGAATACACCGCAGAAGTCCCAACCATCAATTGAAGCTCCATGCAGTTCTACGTCAGAGGCATGTTCTCGCGTGCAAGAGGCTCAAGGGAGAAGGGCAGCCGCACAGCCCCGCAAGCAACCAAGGCAGCAACTGCAACGGCATCAGATGTGCATGCTTGGGTCGAGGCCCATCAACCCGGCGCCCAGGAACTGTTCGTGAGCCCCCAAGCCTCCATGCTAAACTACACTCTTGAAGCCCTAATAGTAGGGTGTCTCTGAGAATTAGACGAGGTTCCGGTTGGGGGGGATTAGTCATAGCAAACGATACTAGAGGGACTGGGACGGGATATGCGTTCAAAATGATTCCCTAAACCCTAAACTGGCCCTCAACCCCAAACCCTAGACTGGCCTTCAACCCCAAACCCCCGATCATGAACCCAAAGCCTTAAACCCCAAATCAATGACCGCGACCTTCCGATAGCCCAGAGTCACCCTTAGCCTTCCCTTCATCGCGATGTCAAGCGGGATCGACGACTCTTCCGAGGAGCACGGGAAAATATTTTTCTGAAATAGAAATAGGCCCATCTCTCTAGGGACCATACGAGTACTGTTAGGATCCATATCATAATCAACTATAACCCCCTAATGGTAAAGCGGAGGGTAGCTAGTCTTCAGGTCAAAGGGTTCAGGGCCTTTAGGGCTTAGGTGTGAAGAGGATTTAGAGCTCAGGTCAGTTTAGATTGGTTAAACTACGGTTGATGATGTAAATCCTGCATTACCCATAATAAGGAGTATACCATAATTCCCATAGTTTAGGGTCCTTAAGGTAATGCAGGATTTATATCATCAACAGTAGGGATTTCGGACCTGGCATGGGGGATACATCGTGGAGCCCGCCATCCTCAGTCCCCAAAACCTATGTGGGAGTTTCCGAAAATAGGGGACCCTAATACAGTACCCTGAATAGCAGGATCCTTATAAAAAGGACCCCAACATCAGGAGCCCATTTTCGGAAGCTCCCATATCCATTATTCTACAAATTCTCGACATACGGACTCTGCAACATCCCCCGCGTTCATGCTGCAAACGTGCATTCGTGTTCAGTTAAGGGTTCAGGGCTTGCGGGGTTCAACACTTGGGGGTGTTGCGGTTTGGGGGTGCTGGGGTTCTCCGCTAAGTCCTGAACCGTGTACGGTTCGCTCCAGGATTCTTGCGATGAGGGTCCTAAACCCTAAACCGTAAACCCAAAACCCTGAACCTTAAACCCTAAACCCTAAACCAAAAAACAAAAAGCCCTAAACCCCGTTCTTTCCCCGGAGGATTTTGCAAAGATCGTGGCCTTCAGCAGCCGGAGCCCTTCAGCATCGCCGGAACCAGGTCCTGGGCTTATGGCGTGGAATGCACGTCTCTAAGGGCTTTTAGGATTTGAGGGTTTTTAGGGTTTTAGGGTTTTTAAGATTTTAGGGTTTTTAGGATTTTAGGGCTTTTAGGATTTTATGGTTTAGGGTGTAAGGTTTATTAGGGTATACGTTTGGTTTTACTATACAGGTATGAACGTTTGGAAGTGGTTTCCTTTGTAGCTTCTGCATGTCGTGTGTACTCCAAAACCTTGCTCTAACTCTAGTCAGTGTCTAAGTGGCTTCTTATGGACCAAGGGCTGTTGCTCGAGTTTCAAGACATAGATGTGTCGTGTTGCGAAAACCCTCCTATGCAAAATCTAAATCACATCGTGTCTGGAGGTATTTGCGCTTGTGAACTATTCTTTCGAACGATGCCTCTGTGAGTTGTTTGTTTCTGGGGTTGCAGGCATATGTCATCTCCATTGAAGTTTGAGGTGCATGATACGTATGCAATCTCATGTTAGGATGTTTAAGAAGCAATCGACCGCCTCGGGTGTTGACATCCACATGCGCAGCTGGACACTTCAATCTCTCGGCCATAAAGATAGAGGGGCCTTTATAGAAGTTTCCGAAGATAGCGGACCCAATATGGCACCCTAAATAGTGGGATCCTTATTGTAAGGGCCCCAAAATAAGGTCCTTACTGTAGTGTACCCCCAACCCTAATCGAATTATCGAGGCCCCTAGGTTAACGCCCTGCAAGGCTTTGAGTCATTCTCTGGAATCTTTCTTCGG